GAGAGAGAGAGAGAGAGAGAGAGAGAGAGAGAGAGAGAGAGAGAGAGAGAAAGAGAGAAGATGAGGAAACAATTCCAGGCACCTATGACCACCGTCGCTTCGACACCCTTCAGGACGGACGAGGGAGTCGACCGCTCTGGGATGGCCGTCAATATGTCCGCGATGTATCCCTAGTATCGCGACCAGTACGGAATGCCACGTCCTCGGATTCTGCCATGGTACATCTTGTTTTGAATGTGTCCGCAGACATAAGCCGCCATCATAAGTTTTCAGGCGGGAGGGTTCAAGGGAATTCTGACCTCGCTTGTGGGCATGAAAGCCATCCGAAAATGTCAAGAGCTTTCGAGGGTTAAACATATGTCACACATCGTAGACCTGCTACCGTGGGTGTTTGATCTGGTGGGCAACAACTCACCGGAAAATAACTGCAAATGTTTGTCTGAAAGGAGTTGAGGACGGCACAATTAAAACTTCGAGTTCAATGACATCAAACGGTTATGAGTTAGTCCAAGTTGGTACTGTTTGGAGTCCTCCCAAACGAAAAACAAAAACAGGTCGTGAACGTGGCCTAAGTAATGCTGACACCCCCGCCGTCCCTCCTTTTCGGCTTCTCACTTCCTGTATGCGCACGCGCCCGTCTTGCCAATGCTGGCCTCCTTTTATTACGAACTACGCAGTCAGCACTGTGCACCGCACTGTAAGATGGGAGGTGTGGCGGGAAGAAGCGCTTTGGAGACGATGAACCGACTGTGGGACGAGGAGCTTGAGGAAGATCTCGGTTACCACCAAGTGCGATAGCACAACGGCCTGATGCTGCTGCCAGCCGAAGCCGAACTGTTCGCGGAGTGGACACGGCCTACGGATGGCTTTGTGGCATGCTTGGGATGTTGTCTGCAAGATGGAAGCTCCAACGGCTAGCTTGAAGTCTACAACTTGGAGCTAGGAACTTTGAGGACCAAGGGCTAAGGTGCGGCGTCACCAGTTGGAAGGTGCTCGGAATACGTGGGACAAGGGGCTTGGGCGAGGCGTCTATGGCCACCCGGTACCAAGCGCGATAACCCATCTCAGAGGCGCTATGAAGGTTTCGTGGCCTGCTGCATGGTTCTTTCCGACGCGGCGGGATCAAAGTATTTGGAGAAGCCATGCTTCCCTCCCAATATAGAGAAGCGCAGGCTGGCTCACGACATGCTCATCGTTTCAGGTGTGCTGCCCTGTAGCCCATGTTCGCAGATGCGTGATGTACACAATGGTGCACGAGAGTGGTTTACTTCGTTTGGTGGTATGCATGAGCTGTTTGTGCTGAGCGTAGCAACATCGCGACTCGTCTTGAGTATCGAGAGGTGTGGTTTTTTACGGTTTCGTGTCACACGTAAAAAACTAGTCATTATGTGATTGTGTCTTGCAAAACTTATTGTCACTGCTTGATTTTCGTTTGTAAGACCGACACGGTCTCTAGCGGTTTCACCGCTCCCTCAAACAAAAGTGAATGATCAATATCAGCCGGAAGACCCGAACCACGCACCCTTTTGTGCAAACCGCCGAGGCACGATAAGCCGCTTCATGGGCCATCCTGCACTTCTGTATACGCCCTCAGCATGTTTCAAGTCGATTGGTTCCTCCTCCGTGAACGCTTGGCTGTGTCGGTGATCGGCCCATCTCAAGCATGGAAATACGAGCACGCGGCAAGTGCTCCAGACGCGAAATTGGTCCGATTCCGGCCAATTCGTTGCTTGAACGTAGCCTATCCGTCATCAAAGTGAAGCCCCGTTTAACCTACAACAAGATAAGCACTTTCTTCAAGGCCGGGATGGTTTTGTGTCTTGTAGCCTACCAATGAGGAGTTCGGTGCACATCTCTGCCACCTGCCCCGCGGAAGCTTTTCCGCAGCATTTCGAACGGGTGCATGTATGAATTTTGAATTTTGAGTTTGCCGCGCAATGAATCTTTTTGGGCGCCTTTTATTTGGCTGCCTATGACAACGACACCGACTTATCACACAACGACAAATTCTTCGGGACGCTAGGGCCCTTCTGACGAATCGAGGTTGGGGTATGAGCACGCGGTTTTTCCGGGCGGTTGGAGATCAGATGTACATTGTGGCCGAGATGATGCCTACATGTCCCACGCATTATTTTATTTCATCCCAAACTACTGTATAGAGTCTGGATTTCCCACCGAATTCGAACATTATTGCATATTGACCCTCTCGTAGCCTCTCGGGAAATCATCTCCGGCATGGGTCGCGAGATGGAAGAGCCCCAACAGTATTGGAAATATTGGAAGTTGGTGGCGGAGCGGATCAATGAAGAACCGCTCCATTTGTGACGTGATGTCATCGTACGCGGCTACGTACGAGGACGTTATGGTGTACTGCATTTGCCGTGCGCATGTGCGAATCTAGGCGGACTTTCTACGGGGAGAGGGCGCAGCTGATGGCATTCGATCGCCCAGCAGCGAGGGGGGAGGGCCGGACCGCCGCACACTATCTCGCCGCACGACACGTGTCCATGCACATCCATACAAACGTTGTTGGCCATTTGGCCAGCCCTATCCCTCAAAACTCACCAAGTTGGTCTGCGCCAACACAATGAACTGGCCAGCGTGCTGTGCGGGACCACTGGCCGAGGTTTACTGCGGGACCACTGACTGAGGTCGACCGCGTGCCAACGGTCGTGCCAGCGGTGTTTGACCTTGCAATACGATGTACCATGGTGTGCATCTTTCACCCAAACTGTGGTGTGCCGAGCATGAGCATGGCCAAACGAGAAAAGAGCAGACCCTGCAATTGTTTGGCTGGCACAAAGCGTTTCAGTCTTGCAGATTTATCTTCCTCTTCCAGCGGTGGTCTTGTTTGATTAGGAGTTTGGCTGGCACAAAGTGTTTCAGTCTTACAGAAGTGCCTGTCTCTCATTCTTTCCCCAAACTCAAAACAAAAAACACCCAGGGGGGTATCCAAACAACCCCCCCATCCCCTACCACACCACCACACCACACCACACCACCAAAACCGGGAAAACCGTAACCGCGACATTGCCATGTCGTACTGCTATCGTGCACGTAGTCACACAATGTAAAGGATATAAACGCGCGGTGCAATCTGAGAGACCCGTGAAGACGAACTCACTTGTTATCAACTCGTGTGGAACAGCAGTAGCTGTTGCCAAGGGAAGGTAGAGGACTGACTAGGATGGGGCCAGGATCAGCTGCTAAAGCAGGGGCTACTAGATCATGTCCCCTGTTTTGTCCTTCCGTGGGGAGTTGCATCTCCCACACTTTTCTCTGGGCGTTAGCCCGCACTACCGTTTGTACTTTCCTACACATTCAAATCCCGTAACACTAGCCCATCCTGGAGGTTCTCATACGTAGATACGTAAATCTCGGAACTTGACAATTACTTGTCAAATCCCAAATGAGAGTATCGAGGATGCGGAGCTCCAAAATAACACAATTTACCCTCCCACATCTCTCACTCGATGAGTCGCAAAACCATCGTTTGACCTGTAAAAAGAAGGTACGGGAAGTAAAAAGCTGGGGCTAACAGAGACGAATCCAACGGGAGAGCCGCAACAGCCGACGGCTACAAAGACAATAACAGGTCAGAACTCAAAAGGGGAAAAAGCGACACGAAAGAAACGAACGAAATAAGCATCGCCGGAGCGACGGAAAAGGAACGGTGAAAGAAAATGGCCTGTATCGACCAAACGATACGATACGCCAAATAATCACCACGGTAGCGTGGGAGCGACAACGAAGGTCACGAAACACCTTCAGCCCGCAAACTCTCAGAAGTAGAGAGAAAAGTATGCGAAAAAGTACAACAGCATCACAACGTACCAAAAAGGCTGGGAACCAAACGTTTCGGAAGCGAAACCAAGAAGAGGGGTTGTGACACTAACAACAGCTGGCAAAACCTCGGTAGGGAACAGAGAAAGCTCGACCTGGCGGACTTTTGAAACCAAAAGAAAACGAAAACAAATAGTGCTATTGCAAGAGCAATAGAGGGCAAAAACAACCAAGCATGCCATCTTAATGTGGGCGCGCGATGTCTTCAGACAACGAATCGGTCACAACGTCGCCGCGCGACACGTCGATGTTGCGAAGAACACCCTTGAATAGGGCGCTGCCACTGAGTAGTTGGAGGCACCAGGATCCGGAGGCGGCGGTTTCGACGGTAGAGTAGCGAACGTCGGGAAGGGCGATCTTGACAGGTCCAGGATCGTCCAAGAAGCGGACGACGTAGAAGTCGGACGGCAGAGGTGGTCCAGAAATCTTGCCCAACCACCAGAGTCCATCTTGTGTCTTGTACCAGAAGAAGGCGCCCACAGGTAGAGGAGTGTTGGCGAAGGGACAGTCCCATGTTGGACAGGAAACAAGCAAGTAGCCCGAAGGCAAAGCTCGCGTACCTTGAGCACGCGCCAATTCCCTGGTAGCGGCTCCAGTGCACATCGCACGGTAACGGCGATTTGTTTGGCGATGTTGGTCAGGCGAACCTGCCCAGTACCGGAGAATGTGCGGCTTGGAATGCCGCAGGTCCGTCTCACGCTCCCAAGAAGGGCGCAGAAGGCCCTGCCAGTGTGTCTGATATCAAACAGCTATCGTGCCCCCACGGCCACGGACGGACTGGTGGCCACTACTGCGTTCAACCTCTAGACGTTCAACCGGAGTTGTCACGTCGTCTTCTGTAACATGGTAGGGAGGAGATTTGTTCGCATGAAAGTTCAGAACATACGGAGTACGACCAGCAGGCAGAAAGCGCGGTAGGTCATCGGTGTCGTGTGAGTTGGCGCAAGGCTTGCAACGCACAACCGAAACACGAGGGTTCGAGTCTTGGCCCGGCAGGTCCGAAGGAAGACCCAAGTAAAGCAACTTGGAAGCCAAAAGACGACCGTCAGGGCTGCTAGAACACGGGCCCACAGCCAAGATTTTGAAGGGGCCAGTCCAGAGCAGAGATAGCTCGGCTTTGAGAACCTTATCATCTGTGCCTGAACGAACGCCTTGTCGAATATTAGATTCGGAGTTGTACACCCAAACCCATCCACCAACAGTGAAAGAAGGAAGCTTATGGAAAGCGTCCGAGAGGGTGGAATTACGCCCCTCAATTGGCGAAACGGAGTGGCCACGAGCGTAAGGATGCTCAAGAACAGTCATCGGTAAACGAGGCAACCGATTCATATGCACCTCATTGGGCGCTAAACCGGTAGCGGCGCTAACGGAAGTGTTGTAAGCAAACGCGATGTGTGGGAGATGAATGTCCTAATCATCTTGTCGTTCGTTGACAACCATAGCCAACATCTGAGCCATAGTGTGGTTGACACGCTCCACACCCCCATTTCCATTAGGATGGTACGAGCTAGTAGCCACTTTGCGGATAGCAAGACGGGCACACACGGCTTGGGACAGTTTAGAGCAAAACTGAGAGCCGTTTTCAGACGAAAGACTCAACGGGCAACCCCAAAAAGGGATATACCTGTTGACAAGGATGTCAGCGGTGTCTTCGGCGGTGAATTCTGCAGCCCGTAACCGCGTATATATCAGCACGGCGGCTGAAACGGTTTGTAAAGAGCAGAATGTATGTATTGCCATGTGGTGTCAACGGAAGTGGACCAAAGTAGTCAACACTCGCCGACACACCAGGGCCCGGAGGCAAAGGAAGGGACATGGCAGGCCACCGAGGAGTGTGACGAGACGATTTATGGGCTTGGCATCGCAAACAATGCCGCACCCACCATTTCGTACACTCATGCCAATCCACCAATAGAAACGTTCCAACATGCTAAGCGTGCGAGCCGCACCGAGGTGACAGGACGCATCAGCGTGGCAGACTTGCATGATCCACGAACGCATGAGCATGGGAACATAAATCCGAATGGGTTCATCGTTGAGAAGGCGAGCAGCACGTCCGCCAGGACGCGTGGTCGTGGACGACGGGGTCGCTGTTTGCTTACGAACAAGCAAGTCCAAACCATCATCGTCAACATGCAACCGGCCTTTGTTAGACAGGTCACGCATCTCCGAAAGACGGGGTCGACGAGCGGACGGAACACGGTCCAAGAAATTCGAAGGGCGGGCCGAAGGCCGACCCAGAAGGATGAAACGAATTGCTGCATCACACACAGGTTCGTAACGTTGCTCGCGAGCCCAATCAGTATGCGAGAAACGTTCGACGGACGCTCGGAAGGCTAAATCCGCCGAAGCCGCCTCGATAGAAGAGGGGGCTGATTCACGAGGCGCCGACTGCAACCCATCCGAGGATAGAGTAGCCATGGAAGCCGAAGGCGAATGCGCGCGAGCGGTTGACACCAAACGCGACAAAGACTCCCAAGAGCCGGGTGCTGCAGAAGGCTGCAAAGCAGGAACAACCTCAGTTGTGGTATGCGTCGGAAGCGCAGTCTCCACTCCATGGGCCAGAGGCGCAGAGGGAGTCGAGGATAAACCACCAACACCAGTAGTCGAAATCCAACTGGGCAAAGCTGGTGTCATCGACAGCGACGAAGGCGCCGTCGGAGACCGCCGAAACCGTCGAGAGGGAGCGGAAATCCGCGTGGGAGACAAGGAAGGCTCATCGTCAGAACAACCATAATCAACAGGCGGGAGTGGCATGCCTGCCACAGCTGCCTTGCGACGGCGAGTCCTGGTGGAGATCACTTGGGTGGGGTCGAGGGTCCGACGAGGGTTTCCAAGAGCGGGAACGGCAGACGGAGGCTCGGGCTCGAGAGCCAAAACATCATCGAAAGACTGAGGTAGGGAACCGGACCAAACGATGGGAGGTCGATTGCTGAATCGCGACGGCGCCGAACGGCAGAACATCTCGGACGGCAAGGGAGCGATCTTGGGCGACAAGGAAGCGACGTTCTAAATGCCCGATGAAGACGAGAGGCCTGATGGCGGTAGACGCGGACCGTGCCGAAGGAACTCAGCGAAGTCAGCCGTACAGGGGGCAAGCCCACCCAAGACCGAAGTCGGGGAATTAGGAACTAGCCCACCCAAGCCAATACCCGCGGCCCGATCACCGGAAGGGGTAAGGCCACACGAACGGATTAAAAACACCGCCTCTTCATCCTCAGCCGGGGTCAGACGACTGCGACCCGAACGGTCGCATTTAGCCGCAGCGACTGGGAGGCGTGAGAGGAAATCAGTGTTGCCATTTGCGGAACCCTTGCGATACTCGAAAGTGANAACAGTCGCATTCAGCCGCAGCGACTGGGAGGCGTGAGAGGAAATCAGCGTTGCCATTTGCGGAACCCTTGCGATACTCGAGAGTGTAGTTGTCGGCGGTAAGAAATTCCAGCCAGCGCTGAACGCGGGCATTGTTCTCCCCCACCTTAGCAAAATGCTCGAGAGATTTGTGGTCGGTAAAAATGCGAAACTTTGTACCCCACAAGTAGCCGCGAAGGCGCTTGATACACCACACGATGCTACCCGCCTCGAGATCGAGGGGAGTCCAGTGGCGTTCTGAGTCCAAAGTAGCCCGACTGATGAAGACAATTGGGCGAAGGGAACCATCTGGCTGTTCTTGTTCGAGTGTCCCACCAAACCCATCGCGACTAGCATCACAGTGAAGGTGAAAAGGTCGCGAGCCGTCTGAAACAGCATCCCAATCTGGATAAACCAAAACAGGGGGATTGGCCAACTCAGCTAATAAAACGCAAACGGCTTGCTCCATGGAAGGGGTGAAGATAAACTTCTCCTGCTTCTTGAGTAGAGTAGTCAGAGGTCGAATGTGTTTAGCCATGTTGGGGAGGAACTTAGGGTAGTAGTTGAGACCACCGAGAAGGGAACGTAGTTGCTTGACATCCCTGGGCATAGGCATTTTGGTGAGGGCCGAAACCTTGGCACCGTTAGGCCTAACGCCGTCAGGGGAGATGGTGTGTCCGAGGAAGTCTTCTTCAGTAGCGCCAATAGTAGCTTTCGGAGGCGTGAATTTCAAGTTGTGCGTACGCAAGCAATCAAAGAGTGCGCGCATGGTACCAACATGAGTAGTAGGGGTGTCATCAAAGACGATCAAATCATCCAAGTACGATGCAACACCGCGGAGTTGATGACTTCGTTGACAACTTTGCAAAACCACCCAGGGGCAGCCGAACTGCCTTGAGGCATCTTCAATCACTCGAAAAGCCCGGAACACGTCACGAATGCCGTCAAAGGGATTGTATCGCGGTGCACCGTGATTTGGTGGAACGAAGATTTCATGTCGAAAAGGGAATAAATTCGCCCTTTCAACAAATTGTCCAAAGTATCATCGACTCGAGGAATCGGAGGCTGACTAAAAGCAAAAAGCTTGTTGAGCTTGCGATAATTGACGGTGATGCGAACACTACCAGATTTCTTCGGTATGACTACCAAAGGGCTCGAGTAAGGCGAGGTCGAATGTTGGATCAAACCTGCCGCAAGATATTGGTCAAGAATCGCGTCAACTTGTTTCGCCACCGGGGGATTAACGCGGTAGGGGCGAGACGTGACGGGTGCGCTGCCAGGAGGAACTGTAAGCTTAAAAGGAAAAAGCGAACAACATCCAAAGTCGGTCGGAGAACTCGAAAACACATCATGGTATTCGCACAAAACGTTACCAAGCTGAGTAATGGCATCGGGAGTCCAACCCGGGCCATGGAGATCAAAAGTATTCTCACGGAGATGGCAGGGGAGCTTATCCCAGGCTTGGGAGAAAGTTTGACGCTGTTCTAGCGTCAACCGCTCGAGAAGAGCAGGCGAAGGCGACGAAGAGGAAGAACTGGCGGAATCAAAGTCCCCTCGGTCGCTTGCCGACGGGATGGGTCTCTCTGTAAATTATACACCGAAGGGTCAGAGACGGAGTGCGTGGCAGATGAATCAATGCCACCCGCAGAAACAGGACCGGGGAGCCAGCTGTCTGAAGCAGCGGTGGATTCTGAAGCCGCAGTTTCAAGACCATCGCTCAAACTGTGGCGAGAAACAGCAATAAGAGGCACGCGAAGAAGGGGAGCCGAAGCTGTACCCAGGACGTCGCCGGGTTCGAGAGACGAAATGCCCGCAAGAGGGATGCGTTGGCAGCCATTTTGCACAAAATGTTCCTCGGAAGAAAACATAGCACATTGGGGAAGCATATCCACCAAATAGTTACCCACAAGGGCAGGCGAGCCATCATTGCGTACCAAGTTGACCTGAATGAGGCCATGCTCTGGGTGAAGTCGAACGGAATGTTTGCCTGCATGGCGAAGTTGGTAACTTCCATCCGTCGCGGACAGATCGTGAGCAAATCCAGTGGCACCACAAGTGTCATGTTGGGCTGAAGTAAGCTCACCAAAGACACGGTCACCAGGACGTTTCGCACGCAAAGTGCGGTAAGAACGGCCACTAAACCGCATCCAACTATCTCTGCCGAGGAGCACGTCATTATGCATGACGCCGTCAGGAACAACGTATGCCCAAACAGCAAGAGAGGAAGTAGGAAGGTTCTTACGAAGAAACTGAACACTCAAACGGACAATGGTCGAAGTTTGAAGCGGCGCAGATTTCCAAAAACCACCCCAACAGCGAGGTTGGGTGTGTTTCTCAGACATCTTTGAAGCAGCCGAAGCCGCTTTCATGGATTCCCATGCAGAAGCACTAATAAAAGACTGCGGAGAACCCGCATCCAAAAGAGCGATATACCCAAACTGCACAGAGGCCGAACCGCTGTGGAGGAGGGTTCTGGTGGTGAAAGAGTCGTCATCGATGGTGACAACACCACCAACCAAATCCGGACCTTGCTCTGGGAGCGAGGAGGAGGACGACGGGATGTATTCTGAAGACACGGCCCAAACGGCGGTGTCGTGATCCGACGGGACATTCGGAGCGTACTGCGAAAATGACGCGAACCGGTCGGTCGAGGGAGGGCACGAAACCGTCCGAAGGCGCTGGTGTGTGGAAGGGTTAACTTCATACACCGCAGAATGAAGGAACGACGTCGGAACGTGGTCGGTCGGAGGCAGCAAACGAAAGCTGCACTCGGGAGGCGGGGCACGGTGTCGTAAAAGACTGCGTACGTTCTGTAGGGCGGTGCCTTACAGGTTGAAGCCGCGCCATCTAGATGTGCATCCAGCGTCAGGATGATCGGCCTGGAGGCCAATGCCCCATCACGGTCGTAAGGACTGGCTTCGGCAAGGATTTTGTCACCAGATCCGAGGAGATGTTTTCGTAACTCGGGATTTTGACTAATTATTGTATACGAGCCGGTGAGCACAATGTTTTCGCGTTCTTGTTTCCAAAGAGATTGGTCGAAACCATGGACCTCACGGCCAAACGTTTTGTGTAAGGCCGGGTCTGACACTCGCATGATGTTCTGCAAAGCACAGCGATCTCCGAAAAGACGGGCTTTTTCTGCAGCGAAAAATCGTTCGGCACACGAGTAAACAACGCCATCGACCGTGAAGGTCGACGGTGTCTATTGGGAAAAAGGGGAGGGCGGCTTCCAAAAGAAAACCATGTCTGGATTACAATACTTGGTAGACGGGTCGAAAACGGCCGAAGCAACAGAGGCCGGAGCGCCCTGAGTGCTGTTAGTCGAAGCTGGAATCGCAGCCGAAGATGCGGAGTCATGATGGACAGTATGCACATCCATGGGGGTGGTCCTTGCAATAGCGGGAACCGACGAAGAATCGACTTGAGTCGGATTGTTCGTAAGTGGGCCAGCAACACTGGGCTGGGTGCACCCCAATTCTAAACCTGAAGAAACGCCTCGCAAGATGTTCGGCAACAGGCCGCTTTCGCTGGGAACGGCTGCCAAAGCCGGGTTAGTTGAAGAACTGAACCGAGCATGGCGCTCCTGGTTATTCCCCCGTGACAAGGTACGCGAGACCGCCGGCTGTTCGGAGGTCACTTCAGGGGCGTCCTCCCGAAGCGGTGGTGTCAACACTGTCGACGTCGGTCGCAGCAGCCTAGAAGTGGGTGCCGTTGTGCGAGCGTGCGTCGGAGAAGGTGGGGCTTGAAGCGCGCGACCCACGGTCGAATGTCGCGTGGCGGAATCTGAGGGTGTACGGTGGTCGGAACCACGGGGACAAGGCGATTCGAAGCCAGACGAATTCGACCCTAAAACTTGCCGGTCGGAACCAGTCAAGTTAGCTATCGATGCAACAGTCGAAGGCGGACCTTCAACGGAAGCGAGCATAGACGAATTGAGCGCATCCGAAGAAGCACCTGAGGCAATCAATTCGGGCAATTCTTCATCAATCGTCCAAAGGTCATGGCCTATCCGCAGACGACGGGGGGAGCGAACGAGAGGTGCTCGACGAACGAGGCGAACAGTTTGGCCCCGAAGGTCCAACGGGTCTGTTTCCACACCTCAAGACAGCACTCACGTTAGACTGATTTGTTTTCGGCGAAGCAGCAATCCGACGAGGCGAGGGTGCAGAGGTTGCAGACGATAAGTGCGATGGCGAAGGTGGGATGTGAGCATTTGGCTGAAGACCGACCTGATCGACACTTGGAGAAACAGCGTGTACCCGAGTACCGCTGTCATTGGATAGCACCGAAGTGCGAGAGCGCCTAGGGAGAACATTTACCTGAGTATTGTTGTGATTGCTTAGGACCGAAGTGCTAGAGGCAACAGAGCGCGTAGGGAGAACATTTACCGAAGTGTTGTTGTCGTTGCTTAAGATCGGAGTGCTAGAGGCAACAGAGCGCGTAGGGACAACATGTACCGAAGTGCTGTTGTCGTTGCCTATGACCGGAGTGCTAGAGACAACAGAGCGCGTAGGGAAAACATGTACCGAAGTATTGTGGTCGGTGTTTAAGACCGGAGTGCTAGAGACAACAGAGCGCGTAGAGGGAACATGTATCGAAGTATTGTTGTCGTTGCTTAAGACCGGAGTGCTAGAGGCAACTGAGGGTGATACACGCGCGTCTTCTTTTGAGCGAGACGAAAAGATGCTGGAGGCGGTCCGAGGGAAGGAGGGGAACCACCGTCGGGGAGTCATCGGGTACGCGAACGGCCGCCATTGTGGAAGTTACCAGGCTGGCGTGCGTTGTGATTGGTCGAAGCCATGACGACAGACGAGGGACCAGTTTGAGCATGCGATTGGAGTTGATAGACGGACAGAGCACAAGGGTGATGGGTGTTGCCAGACGTCTGTTGTGTATGATGATGGTTACCCGCGGAGTGCCCCGAGGTTTGACCACCGTGGTGTGAGTGTTGGTGGTGATTGTGAGAGAAACTACCACCGTCGGAACGGCGAGGCCCAGCCTGGATTCTACGCTGAGAGGAGGAGGAAGTAGACTGCCGATGGCGTCTACCCTGATTGTTGTTGCGGCCATGTGAACCCTTACGCCTGAAGGATCGCATGCGACCTTGCCAATGCCTAAAAACAGCAGAGTCATCATCGAGGTGACCCAACTCGGGAGTCAACAACCCACTAGAATTCGTGAAGGGAGAAGCACATTGCTTCATGGAATGGTCATCACCCGAGCAGTTCAGACAGCGGTTCCTGTTTTCGCGGAAGGCTTGCGAACGAGTCTCTTGTGTCAACAAAGGAGTACATGAAAAAGGATCATCGGTGTTACGAAAATTGGCGGTGAGGGCGTATACATCAGACCAGCCGGCTTGCGAAGCAGGCCACGAGTTGTAGTTGTGCGTGAAAGGATCCGTGGCTTGAGGTTGCACGGGCATAAGTACAGGGTTCTGTGCGGAGCCGGATGCCCACTGGCCCGAAGACGCAGGGGCGCAGTAGTTAGACCGCCGAGGTTGCAGAGAGCCAGGGATCGAAGTCAACGAAACATAAGATGAACCATGGATAGCCGGGGGTGTATTAGTCGCCAAAGGCGCGAACGCCTCCCACACAACCGCAATCGACTCAAAGGGAGTGACCGCAGTGGCCAAAACACCCGGCTACAAAAGCGGAGACAGACTCGAAAATTGCTTGTCGACCGAGTTTCGCACAATTTTGAGAACCATGGATACACTAGGGGCCAAAGTACGCTCAGAGCCAGTCACAGATGAAACTAACAAACGGAAAGCCCGAAGATAATCCGCGAAAGGAGTACCATCTGCTACGCCAAATTGTTGCAGCCGCAAAAACGACTCTTGGCGGTCTCCGACGTCAAATTGCTCCGCCAGGTGACGCATCAATAGCTGGAAAGCGTCTGGTCCAGGGGCTCCTCCATCCAAGATCCGTTTCACTTGCTGAAAGAAATCAGTAACGGCAAGGACGAGATCGGCGGTAGAGGGCTTGTCGGGGGTGATCGCACTCAAAAGTTTTTTTTCGAGAAGACGTTCCTATCCACGCACAAAATCGGCGCCTGTCAAACCTTCACTCTGCTCATCACACAACAGCATAATATCGGACAAAGCCGTTCTCGTTGTGCGAATAAGCTGCTGATAACCGTCTCCCGGCAACAGAGTAGCGGGGACGGGCATGGTAGCGACATTCTAAACTTTTTTCAAGTTGAGGGTGATGTACGCTCGTTGTACGGTAGCTACATGAGCATTATGAGCAGCTGCATCAGTCGCATCGATCAATGCTTGACGAGTGTATGCTGTGTTAGAAGGAAGTGGCAAAGCACGATCATCGGAGCAGCGGGGGGTGCGGCGGCTACAGAAGCAGCTGTGGGGGCATGGTCTGAAGACAACATGCTATTCAAAACACCCGGCACTGGTGGATCAACGCCGACGGGGGGTTGAGGTTCGAAAACCTAGGGTTCTGCATCATTCGTGGATCTACAGCATGGCGAGCGGTAGAAAGGCTACGGGGTGCAGAGGTTTCCAAAGAAACAGGGGTGGTCGAAACCGGGGGTGAATTCGAAAACTCAACGCTACGTACATGTCCGGGGTCTACAGCATTGAAATGCGGCAGAACGGACAGAAGGTGCAACGGGCTCCGAAGAAACAGGGGAACCTAAAGGCAGGTGAAGGTCCGAAAACGCAACAAGACGCAAACGCCCTGAGTCCGAGGAAAGAAGGGGGGGCCGAAACCGTACCAACAACCGAAGTCGAGTGGGGGGCCGAAGCCTGTGAAAAGACATCATCATGTAACAGAAAACGATCACTCAAAGTCGCATCCATAAGGGACGGGACTACTTGCCTGGAAGAAGGACCCTTCCGAGCGCCGTGCTTCCGGGTGAGACTCCGGTCTGAACCAGAGCCCGATCCGCCTCCCTTGCCAAGAGTCCCGCTCGTGTGGCGCTTGGCCTACTGTCGTGCCCGGCCATTGCCCGCCAATGAAGATGGCTCCGGGGGGGGGGGAGAGGCTCCCGCGCAACTCCAGCCCGAGTCCTCGCCCGAGCTACGCTCTCGCACGATGGGCTGGACCGGCTTGGCCTTGACGCGGCCGGCCTTGGGCCGCTGGAACGCCGGAGATGCCGGAGTCGCCACGGCGCAGCCGGGCCACACAACCGGAGACGTTGCGTTCATGGTGGCCGCCCGCATCGCCACGAGGAGGCAGCTCACCATATCGTGGAGGTCGGGCCGAGACCCGTTGGCCGCATCAGCGGCGTCCTGTATTGAGGCAGCCGACGGCAGGTAGCGAAATAGCAGGTTACAGTCGAGACTGCAGCAGTAACCGAGGTTACAGCTAGAAACGCCGAAGCAGCAACTAGCATTGGGGTTGGTTGTCGAAACGACAGGTAAGGAAACCGCGGTGCGAGCACGGCGGGCAGTCGAAACTGCCGGCATAGTCTGAACTAGTGGCATGAAAAACCGCGGTGTGAGCACGGCGAGCAGTCGCAACTGCTGTCGCAGGCGTGAGCCGAAGCTACAGCACGTGTCCGGGTTGGGTGACCGAAGTTGTACAATAGCTAAGCCATACACAGCCGGTTAGTGCCGTTTGCGAGCAGTCGAAACTGCAGAGACAGGCGGTGTGAGCCGGAGCTACATCACGTGTCCGGGTTGGGTGACCGAAGTCGTATAATAGCTAAGCCATACACAGCCGGTTAGTGCCGTTTGCGAGCAGTCGAAACTGCAGACACAGACGGTGTGAGCCGAAGCTACATCACGTGTCCGGGTTGGGTGATCGAAGTCATAATCAACCGGTTAGTTTCGCCTACTCTTGATGATTATATGCATATAATGTGGTTACATACTTACGAGAAATGTAGTCTAAATGAAATACCACGGGATACACCACCCACTCAACAATTTGGTCCTAAAACGGAATTTGTTGGGGAAGGAAAGAGAACGAATACCCACACAGCCAGCAACAGAGCTGTACAGTGCTCACCTCGGAAGGTGAGTGCGGCGACAAGAGATACTGCTACTTGCATGATCGACGGAGCGTCAACGTCAAGTTTCGCCCAACAAACGCGGGGGAAAAAGACAACGCTGCAAGGAGATAAAATTCTACAAATAATACAAGCATCAAACGCCACGAAGGCGAGAAAAAAAAACAGCCGAAGCTGAGGAGAGAGCCAAGCTCAACAGTCGAAGCTGTCAAACAAACCGAACATGGCAAAAGAGCCGAAGCTCAACAGCCAAGCTACTGCTGTAGAAAACGAGCCGAAGCTCAAACGACGGCTACAGCGGAGAGCCGGGGCTCCACAACTGTTGGTGTGTCTGGAACCGAAGTTCCCTAACGAGACAGATGTATGTGTGCAAAGGTAGAATCGAGCGGTGACCGTTCCACGGGCGTGGATCTTCGGGGTATCTCCCGACATGTCTTTGGTAGTTGGAATTGTTCCGTGTTGCAGAAAGTCTGCGCGTCTTTTCGTCGGTGAATTTCTTGCGGCTGTTGCTTGATGCTTTGCGGCGCACGCGGCGCCCACTCTCTCCTGTTGCTTGTCTACGAGGGCAACCTAATAAACGACTTTACCATCTCTTCATCCCTGTCAACCTGGTCAGCCGTGCTTATCCAGCAGCACTAGGCTTGGAACCAATCAACACTCTAGAGTGAAGGTTAACCCCATATCCCCCTGGTGAACCGGACACATGTCGGCTGGATCTGGAGATGCTGGCAAGGGCAAGGCAGCCCCGACTCACGAGGAGCTCAGGACTGCCGTCGACGAGGCCACCGCCAGAATGGAGAGTATCATGACCGAGAAGTTAGGGACCGTCATGGAAGCCCTGGCTGGGTTAGTGCCCGAGACACCGCCCGCCGGAAGTACGACCGGAGCGGGCGGNACCCGCTGGCACGGTACGACCCAATCATGGATGCCCGGATCCCGCGCCTCAAGCAGCTAAGCTTCGATGGCCAAGAAAAGAACTGGCTAATGTTCAAGAACGACTTCACGNCGGCGGGGGAGAGTCACGGGGGGAAAGGCACGCCCCTCCCGGCGCTGGTCGTGTGGATCAAGCGCCAACCACCGGACAGGGGCTCGAGGGAGCACGAGGACTGCCGGACACAGCCCCGCAAGGACCCACGCTGCCGTCTGTGGGGGACTTCTCGCACGATAGCTCAACCAGTGATCCGCTGGCACGGTACGACCCACTCATGAATGCCCGGATCCCGCGCCTCAAGCAGCTAAACTTCGATGGCCAAGAAAAGAACTGGCTAATGTTCAAGAACGACTTCACGACGCAGGTGCAAACGTGCGGAATGATGCATGCTCTGAACGATAGCCGAGACATTGAGGTCAAAGGGGAAGGTTGACGGGCGAGTGCAACATGCGTTCGTAGCAGTCGGGGAGGGGTCTAGGAGGAGGCGACGGTCAAGGAAGAAAAACGGAGGGGATGAACAGGCATGCGTAGCGAGTGACGGTGACGCCGAAAAAAAGTCTGTCCGCTGCCACATCTGCTCCGCACACCACTATGCCCACGAGTGCCCTCAACAGGTGTGCCAGAGGTGCGGAGGAAGAGGGCACCATGTGAAAATATGCGCATCGAAAGTGGGGAGTGAAGTTGCCGTGGCCGCGATGGAAGTAGAAGAGTCGGACGTCGCGTACAAAGCGCTTTGAATATTCCGGCGTGTTGCTATGCTGTCCATCAAAACTGTCTCTTCCCCCGTGTGCGATCGGTTATTTTTTTCTGGAAAGCTGCCTCCGAATGCCCGACNAGAAGTCTGTCCGCTGCCACATCTGCTCCGCACACCACTATGCCCACGAGTGCCCTCAACAGGTGTGCCAGAGGTGCGGAGGAAGAGGGCACCATGTGAAAATATGCGCATCGAAAGTGGGGAGTGAAGTTGCCGTGGCCGCGATGGAAGTAGAAGAGTCGGACGTCGCGTACAAAGCGCTTTGAATATTCCGGCGTGTTGCTATGCTGTCCATCAAATCTGTCTCTTCCCCCGTGTGCGATCGGTTTTTTTTTTCTGGAAAGCTGCCTCCGAATGCCCGACGATGCAACTGTTGTTATAAATTGTTGGACGTCATCTTTTTCTCCGGGCGTGTGTGTGTCTTGTTTTTTCCTGATTTGCTTGCTGCCCCCTTGTGGTTGTAGCTGTTACGCAGGCAGCC